TGGACGATGTAACATTTGATACAAGTATCGCGACGTATATGCGAGCAAAATTGATTGTTTAATATTTAAATCACATGGTTTATTGTATCTTACCTTGGATACAATTGAGCCTGGAATGGTCACGCATTGATCATGAAAGAATTCAAGCTTGATATTATGTGTCTCACATTCACTCTGGCATTCTTTGTCACGCTGTTGTTCATCAACCTGACAACAAACGAATAGTTAAATGTCTCTTTAAACAGAAAATCTTCATTATAATACAAATCTTCCCTTACCTCGTACTCAATGTTAGCAAACACGTGATTAACATTAATTATCCGACAAATGTCTGTCAACGTTCTCGCAATGTTTTTCCTCTCCTCTACTGTCTCTACAACCAACGGTATGTTTAGTGCAGCCAGCTTCTCTTTTAATATCTTTAGATTTCTCATAATAAAATTGACTTTAATAGCTGCCGTATCGTGTAATTGCCAATCTTGCGGAGATATGATGTATAGTGCAAACAGGAATTTACTATTTGCGTGGGCAATTCTGCTTGCGGTTGATAAAGCAGGATTGTCCTGTAATCTGAGGTCGGAACGAAACCACATTAAGCAGTTTTCGTTGGAAAAACCGTAGGAGGATAGGCCAGATATGAAAGTCGTGATAGATGAGGGAGGAAAACTGGAAGCGGACGTTGGAGACCATTCGGAAGTAATCCTGAGTTTCGAAGTATTCTGCTTTCCTAGGGGAATTGCTAGCTTTCCCATAGACATCGTTTTCTGCCGTTCGCTGGGCGTTTGAAGTGAAGTTGTAAAGTCTGCGGCTGTGGCTGCAGATTCCTTAATTGTAGAGGGTAACTTCCTCTTGGGTGGCATCGTTAGAAATTGTCTTGTTATGTTTCGTGTTCTGCTGCGCGTTATAATTGCCGGGAATAGCCGTGTCCGTGTGTGCTTCGTTTTTACGAGCAGTGTATGCGATCTGATAGTAATGTTTTTCCTTTCGATCTGGCAACATTTTGTGAATATTAATACTGATATGCGCGCGGGTTTATAAATCGGCGATCATGAAATTCGCGATCGCCGATGCACAGTTTCATATCAGCGATCATGAGCACCTGTCAGTTTGAATTGATGGTTAAAAACCATATATGTTTAATTGGTGATTTCATAATAACTGATACGTGAAAGTCTTCATTTTTTTTTCGTAAGGCCCAATTTTATATGCCATAACAAGATTATTAACTTTTGCATCTTGAACACTGACGTGGAACAGTTATAGAAGTTGACTGCTAGTATGCAATAAACAGTAAATAATATTCATATCAATATCCAAGCACAAATGCTCAAGGTATGAACGATATTCATCCTCTCATTCATATGTTAATACTATGTATGTCAATCAGTGTGCGTCACACGTCAGGCAGGGGGGTGCCAGATTAAATTATGGCATTCTTCCGGAAGGCAAAAATAGGGTTATCTTGGAAGCAGCTCTCCTTTATCACATTAAGTAATTACCTTGGACCGCAGTCATTCTAACGGACAATATTGGATGAATCAAAGCTCCCTAGGCAAGATGAGGGTTGAATTAAAATTTTCATTTACAATGAATAGCTTGTACTTGACTAACTCTTGTCTTGCGATATCGCGTATTGAAACGCTAAACAATACTTAGCGTAAAGTAGACACAAGATAATTTATTCCTGGTTATAATAGCCTCAATACATGGTAATAATAGATCGACTGAATATATTGTACATACAAATTTAATATCTACAAGTAGATCATATAAAAATACAAGAATGTAGCTGATCAATCAATCTTCGTCCCTATAAAAAAACAACGCAAGGTTAATAATTATAGACACAATTATAAAGGAAAGTAGAAAAAAAAAAGACTTACCAAGGTCGCGGTATCAACGCAATAGGAAGTACCCTAAATGAAGAGAAAAAATCATACCGTCATTAAAGCGATATTCTGACAATTATCAAGCCATAATACATCCAAATAACTTTTTGATATTACCATGTGGCAGCTATCACAACACCATGACCGTGATCCTGCATTTTGATAATGCTAAATTGTAATCCAACCCAGGCCGATATGAATCCCCAGTACGGTGTCAATGCACTAACAGAACCGGCAATTGAACGTATGAACCCAACGAACGCCTGGCTGACGTTCTCAGCCTGATTCAAACGACCCATACAAGGAGTAGGAACGTAGATCTCGTAACCCCACCAGAAGACATGGACAGAGATTTCAGTCTCGGACGGGCGAACATGAGGTTTAGGTATGAGTTCTGTGGAATTGGACGATTGAGTAACCGAAACTTCTGCACTAGGGTTTTCTGAGGAATTTGACGTCTCGGATGAGAATGTTGTTTTTGTCTCGGCACGATTAAATCTCATAAATGAAAACCAAAAATGATTTGACTTCTTTGTAACTACGTTGCCGTTATCATCATTAACATTGTTGACATCATTAGTGCTCCCTTTCGTTTCCACTTCCTCCACTTGCTCTTCCTGCGTTGCAGTAGGATCCGGCATACTTTTGAGAATGTTGACAATATTCATTGCTGTATCATGTCTCTGCAAGGCCTTTACTGCACGTTTCTTCTTGTCGTCCTTAGTAACGGGTTCGCCCATTATTATATCTTTCACTTGGGAAGCAAGTTTCTCGTGATACTTTTCCTTCCTCGCTTGTTTCTTTGGACCTATCCATAAGTCCATAAACTTGGGTGAAGTTAGCATGGTCGTTTATTTGTTTACTGAAGTGGGAGGCGAAATGGAATGACAGAGTGAGTGGTAAGTTTAACAACGTGTATAAACTTATCGGACAGCAAGGAAGATAGGAAAGCGGGAAAGAAAGGAGGATAGAACGGGCATAGGAGAAAAGGGTGAAAGGGTGCTGAATCCAAAAAGGAGGCGAAGGTCTGGTTGCCGAATTGATTATTCCATGCGTATTTTATTTAATATTAACGTTTTTTCCTATAATAATAATAATAACCTCAGGGGTAGATCACAGGAAGGGGAATGGTGTTACAGTCATGTAGTGTGATGTTAAGTTGGCCAAATTGGTCATAATTTCCTATTTTGGATCCCATACTTGTTTGGTATAAGAACCATTGCACTTTTCTATCTTATACTCGGAAGCCACCATGATAATCTCAACACTTTGTTTTTCTTTTCGAAAATAACAATAAAAGAAAAGGTTATTATATACTAGCAATTGATTAAGCCTGGCTAGTATGTTCAGATATTTTTCAAAGAAACTAACGCTAAGAAAGATAATTTCTGTACATGAGACTTTTTTTTTATTTTATCTTATCTGTTCCCATGCATGGTTTTGAGCTAACCCTTGTTTCTTATTGCGCTTCGGCGGAGAGAAAAACGTGTCCCGTTGATAACTCTGTACTTTGTTAACCTCCCTCTCCTGTTCAGAAGACCTGCGCGTTCTTGATACTTCATTAGGGACATTTTTCCTCGATAACCATCAAGGACTTTGCTTGTCTTTAGATGCCATAACTTTGAACAAGAAAAATGAGCATAATGGTGAATCCACGCTGATGAAACAAACTCCTAAGTAAATGACTAACGAATGGACTATTTCAAATTGAAATTTATCATGTGTTACGGTCGGCAATTGTTTGGTTGGGAGAGCCAATTAAATCTTTAGCGTAGGCGTGTTCACTGCCCTTACTCCAGTGATGTCGTTTTGACTGAATGTTTCGTCTACAAGTGACCTAATTTCATTAATTTTCGTGCGCTTTTCTCACTCCCTATACGATGTACTTTCTGTACTCGTATCCGGATAAGTGTAAATTATTAACAACTATAATTTACGACGGAATCGAAGGAGAATATTTATTACTTTTTTTAAACAGGGCGGTCTCCGATCCGGTGTAATGATTAGTCAGTTTATCCGTCACTTGTTTCCTAAACTAATTAAACAATTAAAATCTATTATCGACGCGCTACAATAATTAACTAAACTTGCTTTCCGTTATTACATACTCGCTCAATGGACAGTTTCGCAAGCCAAAATGGGCTCTGACTACTTAAAACTTTTCGCCTAGGGGCTATGTAGGTATTGTCCAGATTAATTACGTACTCGCTCAATGGACAGTTTCGCAAGCCTGAATGGGCTCTAACTACTTGACCTTTTCGCCTAAGGGATATGTAGGTATTGTCCGAATTGATTAGTTGAAAATTCAAGTGAAGATAACAATAGGAAGAAATAAAATATAGAATTCAAATTTTAAAGAGAACAATTATTTATTTCCGTGGATTATTAAGAACAATCAAACAGCGCACGACATACACAACATGAGGGTGAACGATGGAATAGAGTCGCTTATATATCTTTTCTATTGCCGCTGTCGTCACCGTCGCCAATTTTTGAAACATCAAAATTATTTTCTAATTAGCGAATCTGGTATGACTATTTTATTAAATTGACCATATGACGACTGCGGGGGACTGCGGAGGATTGCGGAGGAAGATTTTATCATGTGACTCACTTTACTGCTTCAGCAGATCCGCCATTACCTTCCAGTTCATCAATGTCTCAAGTGTTGGTTTCAAAGAGTGCAACTGAACTGGAAATGCAAGCGGCGAACCACAACTAAATCCCACATATAACCCGTTGTAAGGCAGTGTCACAGTATAGCATGCTCCTTCAAGAGCTGCAGTAAAACGAAGTTGTAAGTATGTACACATGCAGATACATATGCCACTTCCTATTCCGTTTCTTACATACTGCAAACTTGAATTCCATGAATGCACAATTGTTCTACATCTTTGTTGGAAAAAGGCACTTCTTCTACTTCCACCATACGATCCAGGATAGACTTTAAAACCTTGTACATAGTTGAAGACATCAGCTGGGTAATAGAATAGGCAACTAAATATATAGGGTACAAATTTTGAGCAATGGAAAAATACCTGAGGGTTTTGCCCTGATCATACACAATTTTGTTCTCCCGCAGATTACCTGCAAATTCGCTTAAACTCAACTCTAGTCCCGTTGATTTGTGCTGGAGTATCTTTGGACATGGTTGTATTAACTGTTGCCATTGGATCAAGAAAGTGATAGTACCTATTACTATCACGAGGAACTTTTATTCACAACAAGGCGCTCACTAAAGTGCCAGTTTAGGCTGTTTTTATCTATCTATATTACATGCAATAAAAGCTCATGAGGGGGGATGTATCTATTTTAATTTTTAGATGTTTGGATGATTGATTGTATTTTATTGGGGTGAGTCCAGGGGGTTTGTGGATCTATTTGTATATCAGTGGAGCAGAGGAAAAGGATACATCCTAGGAGTTGGTTCAGAATGTCTTCATGGCAAGGGGGCGCGTCACAATCTTGTGCAATATTATGCCGCATAGTGATCACGTGACACTACACGTGATATGGGGAAAGCGCGCTGCTTGATAGTACGTCCCTTTCATCGTGTGGGTGTCGCGAATACTGAACCGATATCGCACTGCATAGCATTGCATACCGGCCAGCAGACATTTGCAGTTGTTTGGTGTGCTGCTTTCTATTCGTTGGAGAGGCCTCCTGTGATAACGATAATGTTCAGAAGTTTATTCCTCCCTTGTCGAATAGTGAGAGATTTATTTTATTGCAAAGAACCATATTAACATTAGGGAAATGAAATTTGTGGCCTAATTATTACGTAATAAAAGTTTAAATGCAGCCAATCAGCGTTTCGTGTTAACGTCACTACATAAACTGCACGATTCTGGCTGCTGGTACCTTCCCCTTTCGATATATCGGATTCGTAAGTGTCAATTATACTGTATATGCTTGCTTACGCATAAGCTGTTCGCCTGCCAGTGTCTAATACTCTTATATTTATTTGACATTTATTATTGTGTGCGTAGGCTGTTCGAATCGAATTACAGATATTATATTCATGCGTGTACGTGTAAATACTTTTAGGAGGAGGGAACACGAAGGATGGCGGCGCACAACGATAGTCTCAGCCTGAGCCTACTGGATTTTGAAAAATTCAGTAAACTTGCACTTGATGAACAAATAGACGATGTAGTCATTGTAGAAAAGCCAGCGGATGAAGAAAATTGCATAAAGGGAGAGGCACTTAATGCAATCAGTGCATATTATTATTGGATAATGGGAATGTTACACAAATGGCCACACAAACTTGGTAAACTTAAGAAAACTGTTGCTTTTTCAGTTAATTAAAAATTTTAAACCGTAACTTTTATTCCTTTTGTCTGCTCTATCATGAAAGTCGGGTATTTTATTTCCGGCTTTAGGTGTCCCGACCATACAATTTTCCGGTTTTTTTTTTACACACTGTAAATATAAAAATACATAATCTTAAAGCATAAGTCTAGCTACCGTACATTCTATTTGAGCTATTTATAAAACGGGTCTGTCGAGACCGTAAATTTTGATGGCGATGCTGGCTGGGAACAAGTCTTATGTCCCTGGATGACTGCAGTACTCCAAAAATACGGTGGAACGAGAAACAGCAAGTACATCTGATAGCCTTTCCCATGCATCAAATTTAATCGCCAGTTAGTCTTTCGGAATCAGCTATTTAAAGAAATCGCGTGTAATACGAATATTAATATCTTTATGCATTATAATTATTTCAATGAATTCACTGAAACGAACACCACCTTGGGTTCAACAATAAGAACACGCATGCGTTCAAGACATTTTGCTTCTGCCAATTTACTCCTCATGCGTCGACGTTTTCTTCATATACAACCTTTTATTCATTCTCTAAAATTACTCACATTATTTACCTATTCACCAATCTATTTTCGTCTCTACCGAAAAGCAGAAATCCTCTCTTCCTCTCGGAATCTCTTCTTGACCAAATCGACAACGCGTTTATCATATACCTCCTCAGGCGACGCACTAATCTTTTCATGTGCGGCTGCTTCCTTTTTCGTCATCACGACGCAATTTTGAGGAGACAGCGGTTGATTCCGATCCCATCTTATGAGAGTTAGTTTGTCTATAGCGGAAGAAACGGCACTGCGACCACGCCATATTTCTTCAAATATATAGCTTACATCGCGTTGGTCTAGTGGTATTGTGCTTTTAAAATTATAGGATTAATATGTTAAATTAATAATTAATATTTATAATTTTTAACTTAACTCTGCTATCGTTATTGTTGTTATTCGTTCTCCGTTCTACGTTCTCCTATTCATACTCACTCGTTCCCGAACAACTTCTTTTCCCTCACTATTAACTCACGGTGTAATCGTGCGTAAAGTGCGTCACGATGTTTATTGGGCAACGGTTCAATTTCATATCCTGTAATGCTTGTTATAGTATGTGTTGCAATAGTCATGCCGAACATTGCAGGAATTGTTCCTAAAAAATAAATCGATACAGTAGTTCTTAGTAATGTCAGTTGAATAAAAGACCTTTGTTAAGGTTCGTTACTTACCTAATACAGGAAGTATTCTTGATCTGAAATCAGGTAACGTCGCATATTCATCTGCTGTCTCAACGCGTGTTTCATCTGTCAAAAAGCGAACGATTATGTAAACAACGTGATACAACAGCTAATTAAATATAATATCGCGTGTTACACACCGAGTGGGAGCAGCTTGATGTTTGGTTTCTCGGTGGAGTAAACGACAGTGATCCCCGATCCTATGCCAAGTTTGTGAAGTCTTCGGCGAACAGCCCTTGCAAGAGGGTCCTCTGTGAGAGCATGTTTATAGGCGTTGCAGATTAAACGCGATGTACACATCTGTCCAACATCAACTCTTTACATACCTTTAGTCTCACTAATATCACTTATTTGAATGCGTGACGGATCTGCTTTTGCTCCTGCACCCATAGAACTCACGATCTACAATAATGAATGAATAAGGATATTTTATTATAATATTTTTACTCATTAAACATCATTGTATTTTCTCCTCAGTTATTCATGTTACCTACCGGAAGCTTTTTATCGTAGCAATATTTTAACAAATGCAGCTTAGTGTCAATGTTGTCAATGGCATCGATGATAAAATCCGGGTTTCCTAATTAAAAAACACCTGACGAGTTGTACGTGAATAAAGACGACAACGATAATATGATAGTAACCATGACTAAACCAAATCAGCTTCGTTGCACGCGTATTTACAAGTAACAACGCAAACACTAATAAATTCTCACCGCTTAACAGCCGTTCAGCATTTTCTTCTTCGAACAAATCAACAACAGCCTCAACCTTAGCCCAAGGCACAATGTTTTTCGCATGCTTTTGCAGACAGACAACCTTTGGAGTCCCAACATCAGCATGCGTAGCAACCGAATGTCTGTTTAAACTGCTCAAAGTCACTTGATCAAAATCAATCAGCCTGATCTTCTCCAAGCCCGACCTCAACAACATTATCGCTGCCCATGATCCAACACCTCCGGCGCCAACTATGATTACGAATGATTTACGTAGCTTATCGATACCTTCCTCCCCTATAAAGGCAATGTTGCGTGCGAGTTGTTCTTTGATTAGAGATTCGTCATATTTTGTAGGGAGGATGGGATGTCCGGTAATTGAATGTGTGGATGCGACGGCAGGCGGTGGAAGAGACGAAAGTTCTTCCTTTAAAGCGCGTGTGCGAGAATTCCGTTGTGACGATTGGTAAGCATAAATTGATACAGCAGTCAGCAGAGAGGCCGCAAGAGCTGTGACGGTTAGGTGAGACGTAGGGTGGTGGATGATAGTGGAGAGGATCGATTGAGATGATGACGACATGGATATTTTAAACCGTCTGTCACTCTTTTCTATTTTCCAATTCATATTTAAATCGTAAAAAGTTTTGGTGTAACCTAATTACGTCATCTTTGCTAATCATCGGAATATCAACATCACTAATATAATACTAATAACGATAAAGAACAAAATTCCCTTTTGTCTTGTTGTAGTACAAGTATTAGCGAAGGGTTATCTTATTGGTTGTCAAAACCATATTAGAATACGTGCATTGGGCAAATTGGGCAGGGGCTACCGAGAGAAAGAACTGGCTTCGTTCTTCCTTTGTAATGGTTACTGCATTGTAGTGATAGGTATTACTAGTTCTGGCTTTATATCGTCATCATGCCAAGAAATAGAATAATGTAATCAAGTATGACAAGCAAGTGTAAAGGATGTTATTATTTGTCTAATATGGTAATACTACGTCACCCCAAAATTCTTCCCATTATTAATTGCAATCCTTACAATCACATATCACGCGAACACACTGAATTATCAAGACGATATACGATACGTCTTATACATCAGGTGTGCGTTTTATTGGTACGAAGATGGTGCTAGATATTTCTCTGTATTTTAAATTGATCCGCAAGCTAAACTACTCGTTATACGCCAACTGAAATTTTGGGGATGTTTATTCTGTTCATAAAATAGATTTCATTAATTTTGGGATCGATAATCTAGCGATTTGCAGGTTCATAATAGTTTTAAGTTTTCAAAGTTTCAATACGGGCCTAAGACTTTGGGTGTCGTATGTGAAAATGTTTTATTACCTTTGTCTCAATAAAGATAAATGATGGTAGGACCATTTATGCAATCACATTCTATGGCCAGCGCGCATGGTAAGAAAGTTATACCCTTGTTCAGGTCAACAGCCAATATATTTAACGCTATGGCCTCTCTCTCTCAAGGTTACAAAAGCCCTGGAAAAGGAACGATGAGTGTGTTTGGAATCGAGGGATAAAGATCCGAGGTTTGAGAGAAAGGGTAAACGAAAAATAAGGTTGGATTCATAAGAGTAAGAAACAAGGAAATGGCAAGGGTCGAATTCAATGTAAATAGCACAATCTGTATCGAATATTTGAAACGGTTAATGTGCGACCTCATGTTCCGAGACTATATCGAGAAATGAGTTATAATCGTTATTAAACAAGATAAAGAAGTGGAGGCAAAATTAATAAACATCGATTAACATAACCGTTAGTCCGATATAGTTTAGTGTTTATTAAAGACAGACAAACATGCCCGAGCTTACTAAACGATTTATCTTTTGAGCTCAAGAACTCGGTGCTTTTTGCGCTACGTCAAATTTGGAAGTAAACAATTTCGTCGCTTCGAACGTCATATCTTTAATTACATCGACAGAGATCTTCCAGATACTAATAATAGATCGGTTGGTTCTTTATTACAAATATGGTGTCCTTTTTCAATCAACTGACTAGACAAAATCGGAAGCGCTTGTAAAAGAATCTTCTCTTTCGAATGAAAGAGGCCGAACCAGTGAGAGACTTTAGAGATCATTTAACGAAGCTCTGCAAGTTGCAAGTTAGTTGTGTGACATTACGTCGGCACTTATCGAGAGAATATGCAGGTTGCTATCGGCGTTAGGGATAGTGTCTTGCAACATGGCATGACTTCTGTTCGAAATTGAGACTATATTATTTATTCAACAATGACTCTTAATTATAATACGAACTTCAGACAGGTAAGTTCCAAATATGCATAACGAACGTAACGGTGACATAAACAAATTGGGCATCAATTACGCTTGAAATGTTTCAGAAGTTGCCGGTTGTACGTTGAAACAAATATAGACTAATGCCAATTCGGGAAGACGAATGCTTAATTTTCAATTAATGTAAATGTATACGACTGTCCAATGCTCATTGATCTGGCAAGCTGTCGTGGCTGCGCACGAATGAAACAGTAAAACATTACTATATTCGCTTAGTCTATAATACATTCCAACAAAATAATAATTAATTCTCTAGTCATTCATTCCGGCTTTTCGTTTCGTAAAGGTTGCATATTACCTCTTTGGGTGCCACAAAGCCCATTTTATTAACGTCTTTTATCTGCAACTCTATATATATATATATATCTAACTATTTTGACCTTTTATTTTTTTTTAATCCTTCTTTCCTTAAAGTTGAAAACAACCACACTCATTACCTTTCCACAATCTTTCGTGTCCTCTCAATCTTTTGAGGAATCCTCGGTTTATAAATACCGTTTACTGGTGTTAAATATACTAGCAGTTAAACTCCATATTCTGCTTGGTGTAATAACCGCTGCTATTATCTATTTGCTGGTCGAATGATGGACATGCCCATTGCCGCCACTGCGCAACCTATTGGGGGAGATAGTGTAAGTTATATCCGCAATATGTCATGCGAGATGCTTTCACAAGAATGAATACACACTCACTAAATTCGCAATCTCTTCTAGAATTATTATTATCCTCCTCAACCAATAACGCCATCCGTGGAAACCTCTCAACAAATCTCTGCTAAACCACCAGAGAAGTCTCGTAATCTGGTTACAGATCTAATAGAAACAGAAAAAGAATATGTTGAAAACATAAAAATACTTTTACAGGTTAGGCGATGTAACAGCTAATGTGGCTTTATATCTTTTGAAATACAATTCGACGTTTACACGCTGATATTGATGAATAGAAAGTCACTGCCTGCTGGAGTCCCGATAATCTTCCTCCACAACAACTGGATACCATATTTAGGTGTGTGGAAGCTATTTACAAACTGAACAAGAGATTTAGCAGTGTGAGTATTGAAATGGCGATTCGCTTATGTACTTTATATTTATGTCGCATAATTTACAACCCATAACTGATCAATTTAATATTCTATTCTCAAACCTGCAGAAACTTTCAAAAATAGGAACAAATCCTCAGGCAGCCCAAAACTTGGCCGATTTATTAATGTCTTGGGTAAATTATGCAGTCGGCTTAAAATTTCCCCAAGCGCGTTTCACTCACCACGTTCGTTTTTAACAGATAGACGAAATGGAAGGTCCATATACGAGGTTTTGTCAGTCGTTCATGCGTGGATTTGATTCGTGGCCCGCAATAATAGAACATACGTTACTTCAAGAAACTTTGGCTGTAAGGAATAATCTAATCTATAATGAATTGAATTTACGATTGAGTTTTGTTTTGACAATAACATCTCATATTGCTTTTCTTTAGGCAATATCTTCATCGCGCAATGAACGAGTGTCTCTTGACTATTATTTCGAATTGCCATTTGCTAGATTGCATTACTACAAGAAGCTGTACATGGTAATGAGTTCACTATATATTTGTTTTATCATTTTTATTTTTATTCTCATCTCGCTAACTATACCCCTTTTTCAAACAATGACAGAAACTCTTCAAAACGACAGATCCAACTAGTGACGTCTGTCAGCTTCTTCAAATAGCCAACGATCGTCTAGACGCTTTGATTTCTCTTGAATATCAGGCCAAAGCACCTGAGATACCGAATTTCGATGATACATTGAACGATGGCTCAACTTACGCATCCGAACCGCCGGATCACACGCAAGTGTTAGAACACGTAAATAAATATCCTAGGCCAGCATGGAATTTTGGATTAACGGAGCTCGAACAGCAGCTGGATGTTACAAAAGTTCGAGATTTGTTTAATAAAGAACCCAAGGTAAGTTAAGAGGAGAGGAGTCATGAAGAGTAGTTATGCACAAACATAGATTAGATACTGGCTTGATTGGCGATGTATAGCTTGTTGAAAATATCATAAATTGGATAAATACGAACTACTGCGACCTTGTGTTCTAATAGTCTTTATAATTTCTCATAAATAGAAAGTAAAGGTTGCATTGCAACCTTCTTCTCTTCCATTCCAGCGTGAAATAGTAATGCATGACGACTTTATAACCATCGTTCGCTATGCCGACGGAGACATAATGCACCGGGCGCATCTATTCTTGTTGACCGATCTATTACTCATTTGTCAAACTTACAGCGCAGAGGATAGAATACGGAATCCGAGTATGGAGTTTTGGTTGTTGTATCCACCACTTTCGGGAAGGCATTTGGTCATTAGAGATGTTAAAGATAGTACAGATGGTAAGAAAACAAGGGAAGAGAAAGCACAAGACAAAGGGCGAGAACAAAAATTAAACGGACTATAAAAGATTGTTGGGTTTGCTTCTGTAACTCGTTACTGATTGGTTAAATTTGTGAATGTAGATATCATAGAGGTAACGGTAATGAAAAGGGAAAAAATTTATTTCCGCGCTGAATCCAAAGAAATTAAAGACGAATGGCTAAAAGAATTCGAGAGAGTCATAACATTTTCAGCTACGGGTAATTTGTTTATCTGGTTTTCGTAATTATCCGCTCTTTTCGTCAAATTCTTGTTCGTAAAATTCTGAAAATAATGTTTAAATTTTAGTCGATGTCAGACCACAAGTGAAAACCAATACTCCTTCCTCCCTCCACAAATCCCCAAGTACTCCTCAACTACGAACGCCTACCTCACCGAGCGATGTAGTAAATAGCGGATCATCAGCGAGTCCAGTGATGGGACTACCCAGGAGTCCAGCGAACGGCTCACCAGCAAGCCCGGTGATGGGTCTGCCCAGAAGTCCGGTGAGTGGGTCACCAGCGAGTCCAGTTATGGGATTACCCACGAGTCCAGTGAGTGGGTCGCCAGTAAGCCCAATGATGGGTTTACCCAGGAGTCCGCCGAATGGATCGCCAGGAAGTCCAGAGAAAGAATTGCCGATGAACTCGATGAGGAGATTGTCTGCGAGCGCAAATAAGGGATTACCGTCGAGGCCGTCGGCAGGTTTACAAATGAATTTGGCAAACGGTGTACCTCGTTCACGCACGCCTGAACCTCCACGCAGTGCTGGCGACTATCCTGGTGGTCTGAACCCCTATCCTTCGGAACAGGGCCGTTACAGCGATTCCGACTTGAGCAGAAACGCCCATTTCGGTGCCGATGCCGCTCTTTCCGCCAATAACCCTCTAAAACGTTCAAATTCACTCAATTCGTTAGCATCTGTTTCCACAATTGCATCTGTTAAAGAGACTTTATACCAAACACCACCTTGCGAAGTTTCCATTTGGAAGAATGGAGACTGGGTATTGTTAACAAGGAAGGAGCGATGTTTGGTCGAGGTGCGATTATCGACGCAGAATAAAGGATGCTGGGCAATCATTCTTGAACGTAGTGGTCGCATGGTGCTCAATGCCTGGGTTCATCCGACGACTTCGATTCGTCGTGAGTCGCCAACAGACATAAGCCTTTCGTGTGAACTAGCTTCAAGACAGGAATACTATCGTGTCAATTGTCTATCCCAAACGGAAGCCGACAAATTCCAACAGAGTCTACAGAAAATCAAGTATCTTAAACCGGACTTACCTACGCCGCTTCCTTCTGTCATGGCGCCACAAATTTTCGTCTCAAGATCATCATCGTTGGCAAGCGCAAATGGCCAACCCCCCAAAGAAGCTGAAGCTGTTGTTACACAAGTTATGGAAGCAAGATGTCGGCTATTTCTACAGAATGACCACGGTGTTTGGACCAGTCTGGGATGGGGGAATATGAAGTTGCTCCTTGAGATTTCGTCACATAGAAAGAGGATTATTATTAACTCGGACAAGAATAAATCTAAATTAATTGATTCCATTGTGTGGGAAGATGGTGTTGAGAAAGTAGGAAAGGCTGGCGTGGCAATTACGCTGAAGAGATTAGACTCCAATGTCAGGATTGTTTACATGATGCAGATGAAAGACGAGAAAACAGCCGTGAAGACGATCGAAATGATAAAGGAAAAGAAACTGAAATAGTTGCTAAGGAATTTGTGAATTCGTGTTGGTACCTGATTCGATACGCATAGGTCCATACGTCCTCTCGTTTGTTTGTTTTTCCCCCCTATTTGAATTTGTACATAAGAATAACTTTGGACTTATAATTTTGCAAGAACAATTTCTATCATCAAAGACATTTGCCATAGATTGAAAATTAATTTATTGCCAAATTAATATTGGGCTTGTAATTTTCATTGAATAGAACTTTATTAATAATTAAATCATTACGTAATATTTTCATCTTGAAATTTGTAATAATCGGCGGAACCAATAAAGGAGATTGTTCCGTGTCACACCATGAACATATGAGAATTACAATTGATTATTCCAATTGGTTTTTCACTTTTTATTTTTTTAATCGACCCGGATTATTGCAAGCCAATTTCCAGATTTTTGTTGAGTCGTGACACATTGCCTGTTTAAAAAACATTGGTAAGTTGGTAAGTTCGCTAAAAATGAGAGTTAACGATGTTGAGTTGATATTTGTAACTTGTATCAAACGGGGCGAGTCTTTCCGTCGGCTCGTAACGTAATGGTTTCACTATGCGTCCTTCGTGTCGAACATTTAATAATAGACATTTAGAACTTGAAACTATCTGCACACAGTCAAAAACGTTTGCCCAATTGTTAGGCCTCTTTGTATTGAATGATTGTTCTAAAGCCAGAAAATACTGTACAAATAAACGAATTAATGCATTTGCTGGTGCTTATAATAATATCAAGGAAATATTTACCCTGCTGTATTCGATTATTATCAAGTCAAGAATTTCTCGCTAAGCTGGCTTTGGCCAACTTTCTCAGTTATGCTAGCCACCGTGGTCCCAGTGGTACTACAGGAAAAAATTTGCGGACATAAAACAACCTGTTTTGCAATGATAGCGCGCGTCGTCCGCGCATATCTATGTTGATGACCTTTTTCTGGGCTATCTTGATTATAAGGCAAATCGGGAATTAGGATTTTTCGGTGGGTGAAATGGTGAATTTGATTTTATCCACGCCTATTATTCTGAATAAATTATAGATTTTCTTGGTCTTTGCATTCGCTACAACGTATATTATGTTTGACAGTTAGTTGAACAATGACGAAACTATAAATTTGGGCTTTTTTGTCTTGATACGAAAAATAACATGTTGACGAATTATTCCTCATGAATTTCTGAATTACGACGGGTCGGGGACAAATGAGAGTGAGAAAAACACAATCGAGTATTGTACAAAAACGCGGCTAGTGAATTAAGTCACGTCCCTCTGAATAAATGCCAGGCATTTCGATAATTTCGCTGAATGCGAAAGCTAGAATTGAGTGAATATCGAACTATTGTAGATTAAAACTCGACTTAAGAAACTTACCTAGGTTTGGAGATCAGTGAACAGGCAAACTTTCGGGACTCGGCTATAATACTGTTTTGCCAGGACTTGTCCTGCTTCTTGCTAAACAAGCCAGTTGGAACGGACAGAAAATTACTCTCATTATAACTGGCATAAAGGAGTACTCTCTAATGAAAACAACTTTGCAGATGTTTCAAAAAGACATGTTAATGTCATTGATATTGATCAGATTTATTGTTTGAACTTTCAATACTGTGTTGATGATTTTCATTATTGTGGGTACTATAGCATCGATTTGTCATTATGTTCACTTTTTCACTTCATGATTAAACCTTCTAAATTCACACATTTCAACTTGGTCTGGCTTTGTTGCTAATATGTGAAGTTTTAAAAATCTATAAATTGGGTTTTCCAAATACGTGAAAGTAAGTTATGTAATAGTAAACATTATTGATCTTCAAAACTTATCTTTTTATTACAGGTTAGTTTGAAACCCCACCATAACAAAAGGAAATGAAAAGGAAACAAACAAACTCCAATTCTGAAATCAAGTATGCTAATATTGTTATTATCCTGTTATGTTATGACAATTACTATACATTATGAATAAGTCACATAACATAGAAAATAATGGCCCTGTTCATTCCCTGGGAATTAATCTATTATTATCAAGTCTTCTATTTCTTCAGGATATATCTCTTCAGCATTTGCCTCTTCAGCATAAGTATTTATCTCTTCAGTAGTTGTCTCTTCAATATTTGTTTCCTTTAACAATGCCTCCCCTAATTGTATCCCTAGAGCAAATGCTACATTTCTTGGTACTGAATTCCCAACTATTTTGAGCTGGTCAATGATTGAGCCACACACAATATCTGAATCCAAAAATCCTATATATTTTGTCAGACAATTAGTCAAAAAAAAATTTTCTTAAAATTTAAAAAAAATATATACATGTTAGGATTCTTTTTACCCTGTGCTCTGGCTGCTTCACGAACACTCAGTGTTCGTGGTTCCAAGTAGTGTACAACCTCAGCTGTAAGACTATCAATCCCTTTGTAATCAAACCGAGTTTCAGGTTAGCTCGCAGCCATACAAACAGTACCAACACATCTTATAATTAAACACAGTACACACTCATCATGGTTATAATAGTTGGAAACACATAATCTGCTGTTACTCGCTGACATGGTGCTTTTCCTGTTCGAATCTCTGGTCGATTATATTTTTCTTCAAATAATTTCACTTGCAAGTGTGGGGGTACTAAACCAAGTTCTCTTGCTTTGAAATAGTTGGCTTTAGAAGTATCCACTGGTATTAATTTTAGAAGTTCAGTGTATTTACTTTTCATGTATTCTACTCTGTGATCAGGATACCTAGGATACCAAAATATCCCTGTGTCTAAAGATGGTAAATCGCCTATTAAATCTTTTACTGTTAACATAGGCAAGCTTGCATATTTGTCTTCAGGAAGACCAGTTAACCTACATATATGTAGATGTGTGTGAGAGTTTAATTCAAAGACAGATTTCTAGACTGAAGTTCATGCAATATGAGACTCACCGATCACCATTTGGTAGATTCAGCGTATATTTATGAAAACGTCTCCCTTGGAACCTGTGTGATGGTTGTGGCAACTGTGGTAGCTGCTCCCCTGCAGCTAGGACGTGGGCATTACATTAGAGTACTTATTAAATATAGCAGTATGCTGAGGACACCACACACACAACATAATAATTACCAGCACCCCACATAAATACACGGATTCTCTCTTGTGCACCACCAATATGAGCTGCACAAACGAGACCAAAACGGATTTGATACTTCATTTCTAATAGACAAGCAATTAACCGTGGAAATATTGCCTGGCCTTTTTGTATTTGATTAGGTGTGAATTTCCTGTCAAGCTCATTAATGCTAAATGTAACTAAAATAACCAATATACCTCCATAGCCAATCAATGTAGGAACGTTTTCTAACAACAAAAATCTCGGCTTATAATAATCAACAAACGAAGCAAAAGAAGCTATTAGGGAATTGTTTGCTTGAGCTCGAGGGCTGTTTGGGTACAAGTTCAAACGCGAGAATCCTTGGCATGGAGAGCCTGCTAATATTATATCCACTTCGCCCTATAATAGTAGAATAATGTAAATCATCAAATATCAGTTGGAGACAAATGCTAAGATGTTTGAAATTGAAAAAATTCTCTCTCAACAAACTGCTAGTGAGCTGTGTAAAATCCTGACCTTCTTTGGCGCGGCCGTACAACCTTCACCAAGAATCGCATCTACCAATACAACGTTTACACTAGCGTTCATTATGGTTATGTCGTCGTGTTGGACATTCTGTTTGTAAGTTTTACATGCTGCCTCAGCATTGTCTATGGCCCTGCGTGGTACGGTAATGATTCAGCGTCACCGGTTTAGACGGGATTAAAATATCAATTTAACAATTTTATAATAATTACCATTTACAGGAGACAAAACCAGAGTCTTCGACTCCCCGACCTAATGATCCACCACCACAAAATAGATCGAGTCCTTTTAACTTCTTAAAAGTTTCAATCTTTTCATAATAAGGTGGAAAATGCTCTTGGGACTCGAATAGTTTGATAAAACTAATTTCATTTGTGTCAACGTCATATTCCCTACAAAAGAAAAACTACATAAACGATTATCAATGAACTCTATGTGGTCATAAGACACATTCACTAAAGACGTTCTTACATGTTCTCCAGCTCCACGATGCCTCAGGTTAATTGGAAGTTCGTTCATTGTAATCATGCTACTTCGTTGTATAAACTCTACATGACATTTTCGGATTACCTGCTCGAAGGCAGTAAACTCGAATGAATAATTCGACCACAACAATTCATTAATGATATCTCCGGATTTTCGTTCATAAATTTCCCATGGCCTAAAGAATCTCCTTAAAATAGCTACTTCGTCTTCCGTGTTGATTTCCTCAATGTAACAGACTGTACAGATCTCATCTTGGCAGACATCAAGTTTGAGAGTGATACAATCGCCAACTTGATATTTTGATACGAATTCATCGAATACACATTTTAATGGTGACAAACAGCCACACAGACGACTGCCAGAAGCAGATCGAAGCATCTCTGGCTTAAATGTAAGAAAAGACCCATCGTTTATATCATACATCATTCGACAGAAGAAGCTAGTTTCGAGATCTGGAGAACGTGAAGAGAATATTAGTAGACAATCGAATTCATCTTCAACAATAAACAATTGTGTATGCATTTATATACCTGGAGAGCTATCTGCTCCAAAAAGAACGTTTACTTTTCGCTTGATCGTAGATATCGACTGAGGCGTATGACATTCACAATGATACGCAAGAAATAATTCTTTCTCTGCTTGGGGGTGACAGTCTACGTCCACTTGATGAAGAAATGTCTGTCTTCGCGTATATAACCATACAAGATTGAAAGCGCCGTCATCAATCGATGTGCGCTTCAATTCAGTAATCAGACTCAAAAATGTAATTTCAAAATATCCCGTTTTAATACTGTGAATTACTCAAAGGCTTGAAAGAATAAATCTAACCATTTCGACTCTTACCATATCCATCGACTTTCATCTCTACCCCATCTACCACGTCCGTCGACGTTCAATTCTACAGCTTCTCCAACAGATATTGTTATACCATCAACTATGACTCCCCTATAGGTATGCCCATCTAGATTTGGATCAATAAATATCGGATGTCCATTATTATGGTTTACTAGTCTATAATCTTCTGTCTGCTCTATTTGCACAGTAATATCATCATCTGAAGTACGTGGAGAGTTTTCGGGATCCTCTGTTTCGATAGAAAAATAATTACGATTAATTGATGTTTGGGGATATGGTTTTTCATATATACGTTGACATACCAATCATTTCTAAGCAATCCGGAAATACGTCCGCAAACCATCTGTATACTCTTGGAGTGACAATGGTACATTCTGTAGATTTATTCTACGTAGGTTAAAAACATGTTATAAATTAATATCGTCTAAAGCGTAATAGTAAGTGTAGGAAACGGATATGAAACTTGCTATACATTATCGCCGTGATTATACTCTTCAACGAAGCTGCTGTCTTTATCATATGTCCGCGTCAATAATATACAAAAATGTTATTAAATAGCATACGTATAACAAATTGCAACCTTTCTATCCATCACCACGCAACATTAGTGTCACTTCTTACCCTGGAAGAATTTAAGCTTCACATAATCATCTCCCAGCGTCCATGCTTGTGTCCATATGAATCTGCTGCAATTGACAACAACAGCACGGAAATCACGTTTCCCATTCATCTCGCCAATCCATTGTTGAAAGATACTGTCTCCACCGCGCAGTTTACTGATCCACGTATAAAAGTCATCCTTAAGATCGGTAAATGTCACCTCGGTATTTGAACTTGCCCAATCGAGGACATATTTTGCTAAACGCGCTTTCCATAAGAATGTATGCCATAACCTAGTATATTCTGGGCTGGGCTGCTGGGCTCTGTACCATACGTGTCTGTTATGCATTGATTTAAGCCAGACTGTAACGTCATGTGCAGACGTACCATAGCCACCGATTGAATACTCGCGGATTGGTACCTAAATAATATTTAAGTATGAAGAGTGGTTATTATTATAATTGACCAGCAGATAATATACATTGGAAATGTTCAGTCTCATACTTTTTGACAATCTAAGCTTAAGCCACAATTGGATACTGTTCCATCCCAAAATCTCTCTTTTACTTGGGCTAATTCTTGCAATTCATACAAGTTAGCCTTCTCATATTCATGGTCATATATAATAAAGTTATTGACACTGAATTCTTCGTAAGTTGGCAAGTCATTATCATCTTCTTCTTCCTCCATTCCACCTCCATTAAGACTCTCATTATTGATTGCGGATGATTTATGCTTAGCTTCCATATTATCGATACTTGACTTTCGGCGTCTGTCGACATGCTCGTTCTGTCTATACAATATCTTGAGTGCTGTTGTTTCCGTATGCTTGGCGGATTTAGCGGCCGGGTCGCCATAGGCACTCCTAGCCTTTCTCAATGGTGGCACTTCCACGACAACGTGACATTTTAAACGTTTCCTTGTGTCGCTCGTGTCCACGTTAAGCGTATCGGTTGCTGTTTGATTTAATAAATCGGCTGATCGTTTGGACGAATTGATTGTGGAATCTGAGCCGAGCGATTCATCGAGAGATTGATTATCGGATGCTCTTGCCTACGGGTTGAACTTAAATTAAAATATAATGCTGTATAGGAAGTAGCTTGCATTGTTTCTTACATACTTCATTCGGTTTATGATAATCTAAAATCGGATCAAATGTTTCGATCAGAACACGGTTCTATTATAATAGATAACTTATTAGCGTACAATTCAGACTAGCGTATAATTCTTAATAGTTGAGTACCGTTAGCTTTTCTTGAAGGCACATGTCACTAGATAACACTCCTTCTGGCAGATCGACAACGCGTACTGACTAATATATGAAACCCACGTTACTATATGTTCCACATGCCAAGTAATCGTTGGTCAGTGAAATACTTCTTCAGCTAGCATATATACCTTTCGCAATTTATTTGACATTATAAAGGCGGTCCTATCAAATTAGAGTTAACTACACGTGATTATAACAAGTTCTAATCGAAAAAAGTGAGAGATTGAAGGACTCTTCTAAGCCAGTATCCCTTTAGAATCAAGCATTACATATACCAGAAAGAATGCAAGTCATTTGTGTTCCATTGTTCAAGGCAGTGGTGTCCAACTTACATATACTTGATCGACAAAAGCGAAGATAAAACTAAACTCTAATTGGTAACACAATGACTGCAAGCATAAATTATTCTGTTCGGTGACGAGAATGCATGTACTATAGTGAATGCCATCGTTTGAATCTTGTTATCGGAACCTGATATGACTGACAACCGTATTCCCCTTCTTTAAACGATAGCATACACAATTTAAAACCGAAATCTTACTTCAACAAAACCATTTCCTGTACAACATCAAACATGCTACGAAGACTATTGACTGTATCGGAACAACTATGAGTAATGTTACAACCAGACATATTAACGACAAAGTCACCAGGGCGCCATTTATATTTTTCTTCCTTCTTGCATATTTCTTTCGGTCTCGAGTTTATGGATCGCTTTGGACAAGTAAAGGTAGATGTTAAAGAGTAAATCATGCAAGCACTGACAAATCAATAATAATGCCATATTAATATGCAATAACAAACCAGGCTTACCGTAGGCAGAAAGAACACTCTTTTAGCAATATCATCTGCATTTTGATTTATCAGCAGACTTATGGCATCGTTAATTTTGTATCCGCCCTCAACCAGATTGTTTATCATACTTGAGAAACTCTTTGACCAGTTAGAATTATGAATCACAAGCGAATCCGCACTGAACCCCTGGCAGTCATAAGTAGCCAATAATTCGATACCATTATGAGCGTGTAGATGTTGAAACAATTGTATATCAAGATTGAGAAATTTGTTTGTGATTATAGTATTCTAGAAAGGTACAGGAAAAAGAAAAGCTTAATCAGAAGGCTAAAGCATGGACAAGATACGCACACATATATATCATGGTATATACCTGTTCAGTAAGCCAGAACCATTCGATATCAGGATATTCTTCGATCGTCTCCAACAGCAATTGGATTGCATTCCAAGACTGGTTGGATTGTGGGACAAATTGTTTGGAGAATGTGATTTTTCAGGAACATCTCATTTGACTCGTGTTAATACGTTTCTGCCGTCGTTTGTTCCATAATACATAACTATTTTATTTCTTCGCGTTTGTTAGACTTTTTGATAATTTGCGCGGTCGGGGAATTCGAAGCTTGGAAAAGACAGAATGCCATGTGTAACACTCAAGGTTCTATATATTTTGTCGCGCGTATGTCTCGACTTATGTAACGGCAGCTTTTCTATTCTCGAAATCTACGTGATGTTCTTACCTTATCAGCAACACGCTTAACAGCAAATTCGTATCCAAAATTTTGTGCGTATTCCTTCTTAGTAACCATGGCCAACTCGGAATACTTTGTTGGCTTATCAGAGATATACGTCAAAATACAAACGTTCGCTTTGTTCCAGGTTTTTACTGCGGAATCAGGAATACGAAAAGGAAGTGGGGGATGTATTATAAAAAATAGTGTCATGACTATGACCGAAAAGCACAAGCTGAGATAGAACGATAAATTCCTCTTCATTGTTTGGGTTTTGGGATGGAAAGAGGATATAGTTCCTACTGGGGATTTTTTTTTTATATTGTGAATGTTATCATTGTTGATTTTCCCGTCGATTTCCGTTACATTACATGGTTAGTCCAGTCCCTAATGAGTGGACAGGGAGAGAATAAACATTAAACAAAAATGGTTTAATTCTGGAAGGGCGTTTTAAATTTGGACAATGAATCATTTGTAATAATTGCGGAAAATCACAAGCTTTTAGAATACGACATTTATGTGTATATGTTCCCGAAATCAATCATCATATATTCCCCTCTACTTGATCATTCGTGTTTCCTTGTTATTAATCCTACTCTGAACCCACTTTGGATTGGGCACAAGCACACATTTAGTTGCAGAACATAATGGGACAACCGCGTTTTTGTCGACCTTGTCAAAGAACGTCAAACCCGACATTCTCTCGACATCTTCAACTGCCACTACATACTGCTCTAACGGAATGTCGTCTGGTATTGGCTCGTTTGGCAGAACGAACGCACCCATCGCCAAAGTGTTTTCTGATCGTTTGGCTAGTATGACTTTGAAAAAGCTAGTTGGAACTGCAACACCTGATGCTCCTATAACTTCGTACTTCACGTATTTCTTTCCATTCTCTTCCTGTGGGAGATAGAGCGGTCCAGTATATACATAAACATCTGTAAACCCTTCGTTTTTAATAAGGCGACGACAGAATTCTTCCAAATGCGCCCAGTCTTTTCATTGTAATAGTGTTTCAGTAATGTGAATTTTAAGAGAAACAAATGCGAATAAAAACAAACAGTTGTTTACATACAAGCTCTGTTAAAGCCCTCTCCAACTTGCGGGGCAATATTCGTTAGATAGAAAGTTTCAGAAAGAGCGTCTTGAGAAAACTTGACGTCAGCAGCAGGAGCCATATGACCGCGATCATATCCAGAACGAAAATAATCGGTTAATTTTGCTCTGAATTTATATGGAATAGCAGGATCTTCTTGAAATATTGATTTGCTACGGTCTACTCCTTCCTCTTGTTTAAGAGTTGTCGCCGTAAGGTGCTCAGCAATCTAGACGTATCCCATAATGAAAATAATAATAACATGGAGACGACGGGTAATTAATATGTTAACACAAATTAGATTAGACGCTGGTCTAATCAAATCACACCCGACTTACCCATATCGGATTCCTTAATTGCCTACTATATGTGCCCACATATCCGCTTCTGAAGATTGCGTCATTAACGGGTCCTGTTTATGGACACGAACATCATGCCTCCGTCTGTATAGCGCTATGGTTTATAGTTAAAACATATCATACCGGGGTGTCCATATGCAAGTATATCTTCAGCTACTTTTCGTAACTTGGGACTCACAGTAACAGGCGTCGCCGTTGGGGGTGGCAATGCAACACTTGTCAGTTTGCTCTTTTGATATTGATCATATCCGAATATACCCAATGTAGTTCCGCCAAGTAATACGAGTGCACGTTCTACATTTCTACGTAACATACTTGTTGTCTCTAAAGTGCTGCGCTGAGAGAAAGAAATTTTACCTATTTAATGTTTGTAGATCTGTTGGTACAAATCACGTTTGTAGGCGGATCGATAAAATGCGTGTTTTTAAGGAAAGATTTGTCTCCATTGACTTTTGGGAAGAGTGTATTTGATCGTTATTTGTTTGTCACACAAAACAATTTAACAATTTGGTTTGTGCCCGAAGTTTTCTTATACTTACCCGTCGTTTAAATGTGTGCGTTCTACGTGGGTCAACACTAACCAAGGCAGGAGAATTTCTCTTCTTTGATGAAGGATGCCAAAAACATTGAGTAATTGAAACATGATCATAATATGTCACACGTGAATGACACTTCAGTTATCTGCTTTCAATGTTTCTTCTAAGATACCTTAGAGACAGTCTCGCCTTATCATGTATACAAAATTTATTTGGTGTCTTATTGGATTGGATGTAAATATCTATGCCTTTTTAATGATTGTGTGGAAGAAATAAAAAGGCAAACCATATATTCCTATCAAGTTATAGTCCAGTCGCGCATTGAGAGCGTGTTCGTTGTTTAAAAATTAAGGTTTATTATTGAAGCGGAAAAACAAACAACAACAAAGTACAAAGGCTTTCTATCAATTAATAACGGATAAGGCAAAATCATCAAATTATCGCCTTACTGGAGGACTAGCAGACCGTCCTCGCCGTCTACTGAATCTATTTCTTACATTGCTACGTTCTCTATCTTTCTCTCCACTGCCAAGGGGAGGTCGAATAAATGCAAAGTCACAATGTAACGTTTGACCAAGAAATTTTGATCCATTGACATTATCTATAGCATTTTTTGCTTCTTTATAGGTTTCATATTCAACAAGTGCATAGCCCTGCGTACAAGATCACAATGAGCATTATAATTCACATTACATTTTTAATCTTATAAAAAACTGACCTTGACGAAACCAGTCCTCCGATCCAAATTCAAATGCAGATTTTTAATCTCGCCAAAGTCGGCGAATTTATCTGTGACTTCGTCTTCGGTCGTTTCCTCATGTAAACCAACTACAAGTACAATCCATCCTTCTACAGCTGTAAAAGAATAAAAAAGGTATCAACTAGAATTTCAATAGGTGCATTGACCATAGTTCAGCAGTTTTACAATACATCTTTGAGCACGTCCAGCAGCAGCGTCTTCTTCGGTAGTTGACTCAAACTGATCGTATTTGTCAGACGAACGAACCCCATCACGCGATTCTTAATTGTTGTAAGTAGTCAATAAACGATCTTAAATAAGAACAGCAACTTCATAAAAGCAGCATGCTCACGGACATAGCATGTAACTTCTTTCACCTTTTGAATCATTTTTGAATCCACGCCCCTTCCGCTTAACGGCTGGTTTAGGCTCGACTAAGTCGAAAAGTATGTCAACCTTGACACAGGGAAACGGAAGAATACAACATAAATGTAATCATATTGATTTACCCTCATCCACTATCATGGCGTCCAACTCATTAGAGTTCATTTCGATATCGTAGGTGTCTGTCATTTTGAGATCTAGCACGGACACTCTACAGTAGACGCCTCAGAATAAATGTCATGTAGCTAACATCAAAAAACGAAAATGTAGACGTCATCATATATTTGGTCACATGATGGTACGTTATGATTATTATGTGGCTATCATCTATAAACCGCACGACTTTCAAACCTTATAAATTAAATCATTGCAAATCTAAACCGAGAATGATAAATTAAAATTTATCGGTGTACTTTATAAAATGTTATGTAAATTTTAAGTTGTTATGGTATAAAATTCAGCGAATTTCTATATGATATACAGTCGCACCTCCATAAAAGAACCCTCTATAAAAGAACGTCATATAAAAACCTCTTCACAAGAACATTGCATCAAAGACCCAATTATTATTAAACTTATAGAAAAAACCTTTATAAAAGAACACCTCTTCATAAGAACATTTTTTTCAAAAAATCACTATGGTCCCAACCTGGTTCTTAAATAGAGGTGCGACTGTATAATAAAAGGCAAATTTCGGACTAGTACTAGAGCACGTTGTATACGAAATTTAGAATACCTATTACTATGTATAAATGACCCGTCTATCTAAAGAAAAATTAAAGTTAAAGAACAAGAACGAGACAATAATGGAAGGTTTGCAAAAAAAATACAGACTATTGTTGATTGGGGAGATGATGATGATAGTGTTGATAATGGTTGGGACAATGATGTTAATTGGGGTGTTAAAAGAAGCCATGGGTATAAATGTAATTTTTACCCGAAGTACTGAATTATACTGAGGTGCGGCGAAAAGATATGCTCAAGAAAACTGCAACTATTCTTGGTCAGGCTTGCAACGTGTCATTCCTGCAGCCGTTGATACGATTACAATAAGAAGATTCGCTAGGAAAGCATGGCGCTACATGGATTTGTATAGGATGGGAATATGTCAGAATTGAATAAAATAAGTTTATGAAACGATATCTATTTATCTATATTAATGGAGCAATTTTCTCTCCTTGAGCTTTTTAAAATACTTCTAATGGTGCCGTAGTTCTTTGGTTCCATAGTGGATTAATGTAAATTAGTTTCATATTAATATTTTTATATATAGAGGTAATCCTATATTAATTTTGTTATGGTTTATATTCATCACATTCTGGTATGATAAAGTGAGCATTAAAATTAGCAAGTCCATAAGTCATGAATTAGCACTATTTATCATTATTACTTTCCAAAACGTCATCAGTCACCCTGGTCAATTTTACAGTCACATCATAATTAATCCCTCATTTATAGAATGTTCACTTTGTCTGGTTTTGTTGCAGTATGCCCCATATATTAATATTTGATATATACTAAAATAATAATATAATCGTTTTATAGATAAAACAAATGCACTAGTATTAGGTTTCGAACTATGGCAGATTAATGGAGGTGGATATCCAATGGCATATTTACTTTTGGATAACGCAAAAAAAGATAATGGTGTTTGAACAGCAATCCTTGCTGAGTTTTGTGTCCAACATGCATCTTAAAAACGTATGGGCTTATTAATGGACGAACTGGTACCAAAAACCTCATCGGATTTTGTGGGCTCGAGCAGCTCAATCTCAAAGAATTTGCTTATTTAAGACGACAATGCTAGTTGAAGCCCATTGGAAGGGTCATTAAAAGAGATTTTTTACCGAAAATTTTCCGTTTTTGATTGAATTTGGTAGTATTTATTATTACAAACCGCTTTCTACCACATCAGCAACGACGATACCATCAAATCGTAACAGGTCGGGAAACCGTCTCTTGGCGAAAGGACTTTAAGAAGGAGTGGAAAGTTCTCTTAAAGCGAGACAACGGCTCAAACCCATGTAACAGGCGTAACCATCTACTTGTTACTTGGATAATTATTATAAACACTTCACATTTGCAGCCGGACCTAAAAAGGCTCTTCAGTTGACTGATGGTGAAATGATGAAAAAGTGGAATAATAGACAAGTAATGTTTTGCTAGGATTATTTGGATGGTGGAATTGGATGGATATGTAGCTGTCGGGCGTTCTTATTAAGTCGCTGGCCATCTGTTATCATTTGGTTCAAATTTAAAATCAAAATTAGACTTCTTTACGACGGTAATTCGCCAAGAAGTTTATCCATTTTTGAAGCATCCGCTTTTACAAAACGAAGAATGACAATAATTATGGAGGTAAATATACGTTTATTTATTATTGTTATCCCGTAATTTTTTTCCTCACGCTAATGGAAATTTTCCTATCGGCAAAGAAATGTCGTCATAAATTACTAGCAAGTGGGTTATAGTTCTTGAGTGTGGAGCAAACATCTATTTTAATGATGTTCTTTGCTATTCAAATAGATGCCATATCAATGCGCAATTTAGTCGTCTAAGCTTCGAAAATAATGAAGCTGAGAATATTGGAGAGGGTAAAAAACGCTTTGAAGACGTTAAGCAACATATTGAAAAGCTGCGGCAAATGCGGATGAATAAGAGTGTTTTAATGGAACTCGTAAACCAGTCGATGATGTAGAAAAGTATAGACGAGCAACACTAATCCCCGACCATAATGCAAATACCTTATTTCTAGAATAATTCGTGAATATAGCATATCTTATTTTTTTATTTCGAAATAAACAAGTTATTCTATTATGTAAAGCTCGAATTATGATCGAAAAGATTTAGACCAATCAGAATGAGATTCGATCTCGTTGATCGCTTGATTGTAAACATACTTTCAATTCACTTGGAGACGGTAATAAACAAACTATTGATATTAATATTAATATGTAGATCATTTTACATTGTTTTAGGGCGCCACAAATCTCACGTGAAGAGGGCAGGCAGAGCTTATGTTACAATTATATTAGTATATAATTGGTATTAATACGTAGACTTATCAATTCACCACATGATGGAATAATTGATATTTCAAGGAGAAAAAAGACATCTTCATATTTTAATTCGTCAAAATGCGCTATTAGGACTGCCTAACATAGAAGTCGCGATTTAGAGGGACGTACAATAGAGAGAACGAATTTCCAGGCAAAAACGAAGAGCCTAATACTAATATAGTATAATCAAAAGGGCGGACTCCACATGATCATCTTTATTGGGTATAGTATGCATTGAGTGACGTACAACAATGAAAACGACGATGCTTGCGTTTGCAATATATGAATCGATTTTTTGTCCCCAATTAGTAGCTCTGGAAAGCTACGAACAAGAATGAAGCTGTTACTGAACTCAAACGCAACTGACCAAATTACAACTCAAGTAAGCAAAAAATATATCTGTGTTAGCTTGGTGCAGAATATCGATCCTGTAGTCAAGCTTGTTATAGGCTGTGTATGATACTGTGTGTTCACTTAATTTTTTTTCCTGAAGACTATGAAGATGACTTTAATGTAGTCATTATTACAGTAGCAGATCCTTATTTGGATGTTTGTGTAATTTTGATAATTGATGATCTTCAGCCTATCATAATCAGCCAATGATTAGGTTTTATCAAACTGTCGCAAAAACCCGCCTAACTGTCATTGACAGTTAAAAACAATGTATTTAAACGATAGTTATCCAACGTTTCCAATAGCCATGCTATTTGGCAACTGTGGTTTCACGAAGGATACAATTATCGAAAAACAAAATGATAGAGGAAGAAATATGCGCGTACGTAAACTTTTTGTTTACCATGGTCTCATTGGAACTTGCTATATAATAGAACATGATTTTCTTCACTTGACAGTGATAACGCGCCAATTCATTCATCACACCCATGTCCAACGTCGGGTCGATTAGAGACACTAGCAACTGAATATGGTCCATCCCTCACCCCTCCAACACGCAGTCTTACTGACCCTATCATTGCAGGCGAAGCTTTCGTGAACAAAATTATGCCAAACCTCGGTTATGCGATTAAAGACTTTAAATGTAATCCGGAAAGAACCTTACTGTGCGAGAAACCAATTTCAAATGAGCTTATCGTTGAAGATACCATTAGGGATGATAATTCTTTAATGATACTTTCTCCAGCAGCTATGAAGAAATTACGGTTGTATTGTGGTGCAACCGCCCTAATAGAAGGAAGGAAGGGATACAACACAATCCTTATTGTATGGGCCGATGAAGGTTGCGAAGATGTTAAAGTTAGAATTAATCAAGGTATCCATTAATTTGTATAATTGGTTGTCAAAGTCAATTATAGTTAGTGTTCTTCCATGATGTTAACTTTAGCCGGTTGTGCATTTAGTTGTTAGAACCAATCTCCGTGTGCGTTTGGGTGATGTTGTGTCAATTCAACTCTTTTCTGATATTAAGGACGGCCGGCGCGTCCAATTGCTCCCAATTGACAATACAGTTGAGGGAGTAATGGGAGACTTTTTTGAACCCCATCTCAAACAATACTTTCAGAATACGTATCGACCAGTTCGAGAAGGCGACGTGTTCTCTATTAAATATGGGGGACTTTCTATGAAATTCAAGGTTTTGGAAACTGATCCACCAAACTATTGTATTGTAAGTAGCTACAATTTGACTTTTTACTATGAATTATGGGCTCATTTATTGCTACGTTACAGGTTACGAGCGATACACAGATATGCTGTGATGGAAACCCGGTCAAATGTGAACACGATAAAACCATTGAATCATTAGACAAGGATGCAGATGCTTTCACATTGGGAAGAAGGGCGATCGTTTATTACAATTTTAATCAGTATGATAGTGCATTAAATTGCCTCAACGAATCTTTGGTGATCGAACCCCGGGACGCATGGACGCTAAGTAGAAAGGGAGAAGTCTATCGTCTACTTGGTCAGTATGATAACGCACTGGAATGTCTCAATAAATCATTGGAGATTGAGCCGGATAATACGTTTGCTTTGAAAGTAAGGGGTGAAGTCCGTCACTTGCTTAATTTTTATGAGGATGCATTGGATGATCTTAACACATCATTGGATATTGAACCGCACGATTCATGGACGTTGAACAGGAGAGGGGAGGTCTATTTCCTACTTCACCAGTATGGTAATGCATTGAATGACTTTAACAAATTATTGGAGCTCGAACCAGACGACGTATGGTTATTGAGCAGAAGAGGAGAAATTTATCGATTGCTTAATCAGTATGACAATGCGTTTACCGATCTCAACAAGTCATTAGAAATTGAACCAAATAATGCATCCGCACTGAATAGCAGAGGGATTGCTTATTACAACATCAATCAGTTTGACAATGCATTGAACGATTTCAAAAAATCATTAGGAATTGAGCCGAATAACGCGTTTGTATTGGGGTCAATAGGGGATGTCTATCGCCTTCTTAAACAGTATGATGCCGCGTTGAACTATTTTAATAAATCATTGGAGATTAAGTCAAAAGACGCATTCATATTGAAAGGAAGGAGTGATGTCTATTTCCTGCTCGATCAGCATGACAACGCATTGATTGATCTCAGCAAATCGTTGGAGATTGAGCCAAATGATATATGGGCTTTGAGAAGACGGGGAGATATTTATTGCCTGCTTGATCAGTACGAGGCTGCATTAAATGATTTTAACAAAGCATTGCGGATCGAACCGAATAATGCTCGGTTGTTGAGCAAAAGGGGAGAAGTCTATAGAAGTTTAAACAATTATGACAATGCATTAATTGATTTCGACAAATCACTGGAAATTAGACCAAATAATGCATGGACATTGAGCAAAAGGGGATTGGTATATTACAGACTTAATCAGTATGAGGACGCATTAAACGATTTTAGCAAGTCATTGAAAATTGAACCGAACGATGCATGTACATTAAGATCCAGAGGAGGTGTATATTACATGATTGATCAGTATGACAATGCGCTGAAAGATCTTGGTAAATCTTTGGAACTTGAACCAAACAACTCGTTTGCATTGAGAAGAAGGGGGGATGTTTATATCATGTGTACTCAGTATAGCAATGCGCTGAAAGACTTTGATAAATTGTTAGAGATAGAACCAAATAACGCATTTGCATTGAGAGGGGAAGGGTATGTCTATCGCATGCTTAAGAAGCGTAAGCATGCATTGAGAAGTCTGGACCAATCATTAAATATTGAACCGAATAATGCATTTGCATTGAGAACAAGAGGAGACGTTTATCGGATGCTTAAGGAGTTTGACAAGGCATTAAATGATCTTAATAAGTCATTGATGATTGAACCGAATAATGCAGATGCGTTGAAGTCTAGAGGAGATGTATATCGCATGCTTCATCAATATGACAATGCAATAGATGATTTCAACAAATCATTAAGTTGCGATCCGAGGGATGCGTGGACATTGGGTAGAAGAGGAGACGTCTATCGTCTGCTTAATCGCTATCATGAAGCACTTGACGATTTCAATGAATCATTGCGGATCGAATGCAATGATGCATGGGTGTTAAGCAAAAGAGGAACTGCTTACTATAGCATTAATAAATTTGAGGACGCTTTGAAAGATCTTGATATTTCGCTGAAGCTTAATCCTAAAGATGCATGGGCATTAAAAATAAGAGGTGACATCTATTGTTCGTATGGGAAGTACAACAAGGCGTTGAGAGATCTCAACAAATCATTAGAGATTAATCCGGATGACGTATTTGCATTGAGAGTAAGAGAATATGTTTACTACTTGCTTGATTCGGGTGACAATGGAGCAGATAAGTTTGAAATAAACCGTGCATGGGAATGGAATAAAGGAGGAGAACTCTATGGCATACACGGTCAGTCTAGCAATGCATCGAGCGATCCTAACATGAAGCCAAATTATGAACGTGGCAGCACGCCTCGAGTGTTATCGCCATATCGTTCACAACGTAACAGCGCATTCGAGACAGAGACGAATAAGTCGTGGATGTCTAATAAAAGTGGAATTAATTATCAGCATAATGAACACAGTAATGATGACAATGATTATGATGGTGGTGATGCTGATGATGGTAATGATAACGACAGTGCTACTTTGTTAGATGTTCTCAATAGATTATTGGAGGTTGAACCATATAATACAATCGCGTTAAAGTTAAGGAGTAATACATACTTCCTGCTTAACGAGTATGAAAGAGCATTAAATGATCTCAACAAGTTACTGTTACTCGAACCAGACGATGCGAATTCATTAAGCAGAGCAGGAGAAATCCATCGTATACTAGGACATTATGACGATGCATTGGATGACCTCAGCGAATCGTTGAAGATTGAGCCGAATAACGCGTTTGCACTGAGCAGAAGGGGAGAGGTCTATCGCATGCTTAAGCAATATGACCATGCGCTGAATGATCTCAATAAATCATTGATAATCGAGCCCGAAAATGCGTGGATATTGAAAATAAGAGGTAACATATTTTGCATGCTTAATCAGCACAGCAGGGCATTAAACGATCTCAATAAATCACTGGATATCGAACCAACCGATGCATGGGCGTTAAGCAGAAGAGGAGAAGTCTACTTCATGCTCAAGCAATATTACAGAGCGTTGCATGATCTCGATAAATCGTTGAACATTGAACCAGCCAATGCATGGGCATTAAAAGTAAGGGATAACGTCTATCGTCAGCTTAGTAAGGATGATTATGCGTTTACCAATCACAATAAACAACAATTAACTGAACTCGACGATACACGTAAAAAGGGAGATGTCTATCGCCTGCTTCGGCTGCAGAACAATAAATTGAATTCTGTACTAAAAACCAAAAGAACGTCTATTAAGAAATTACTTAGAAGAATAACGCGTTAAGCCTTATCAAGACAGTTATAGACATTCAATTGCAGTATGCACTGATAGCAAAGAATGGTAAATTTGCGGCACTAAGGAAAATAAGGATAAGGTTTATGCGATATTTTGTGTCATGAACCAAATAATCTAAAAGGGACGAAAGTTGTAGACCTGGGTTGCCGCTTGAATGGAATAATTGCGCCTTTGTTTTTCATTCCTACATCACAACTTACTAATTTATGGTTCCAGAGTTTCTTTCATTTTATATACAAAATAAATCTCATCGAACACTGTAACAAGGCAATGTATTACACGTCGTACTTTTATTTTTGTCTCTCATATAAGAAAAGACAAGCATGAATTAAATCTATTACAAATGTACGAAAATAGGTGAAGGGCACCTTCAATTACAACAACCAAATAACCATCTACTAGCAAGTGGTTTATTCAATTGTATGGTCACGATATCCGTCTATATGTCCCAGTTTAATACCGTCGATCTACAAATTCATCATTTTTCAATTTAGAAAATAATTGATTCGGTTTATAATCACAACAACCCCCTTACAACTAACCTCGTCCATCTTCATCTTCCCGTTGTCTTTTCATTCCATGGCCCCCGCCTTCATAACCTCTTTTGATATAATAACAATGAAATTAAAGAAAAGAAGATATGGTAATGTCAAGTAACGTTATTCTTACCTTTGGCCACGCGGTGCAACCGGCACGTCCTCGTTCACAAATCCTTGATCAAAGAAGGCAGGATTAAAATGCGGAGCCGGGTATCCAGGTTGATGAGGACCTAAGAAAACACGCGACGGCGAATGAAAACATAATTACTCATCAATTAATCCTGACGTTGATTTGCAAAATGCTCCAGTCAGGCTTCCAGTCCCGACTCTTTAATACGGTCTTGAATATCATTTTTCATACCAACCTCCCATCATATTTCTTCTGACAACTCCCTGCCCACCACGCATTCCCATCATTCCTCCTCTTAACAGGGGATTCATCCCAAAAGACCCATCTGTTCCAAAACCATTCATATATCCAGCTGCGCGGCCAGGAAATGCAGCATATGGTCCCATAGGTGGCGCAAAGAAATCTCGCGGACCAGCCGGGATTGGGTTCCCTCTGAATGCATTGCCTCGATGGAAATCGAAATTAGGACGTATAATAGGCGGACGAAGTAATGGAGTTGACGTTGCGGATTGGTTCGATGTATTTGTAGGTGGTGTTGAGCGGTGAGACGACTGTTGTTGGCGAGCGGATTTGGACGGAGGTTCTATTTACAAGGGAAGAGAAAACGGTTTGTCAATCGATGAAGCAAACTGGACGGTGTAGAGGGTAAATAGAGCCCTCGCTAAGGATATTTACCTTTAGGTACTGTCTTGAATGGATTTCCGTTTGCAGAGCTGGTAAAGTTGACGAGAACCTTCTTATCCGTAATCTCTCTATGGGGATAGACAAGCGTTATTATGAGACGTATGTCGCATGCAGACAACCAAACAAATGCTAGATTCTTAATTGCGTTCCAACGTACGTCATCTCTAATCGAGTCTTTACCAATGCTGCAGCTTCTGATGAAGTGAACTCTACGTATGCGACACTACAAAGTGGTGAATGATAGAATAATTAATATGCAGTAATCGTTTCTAGTAATTGTCTCAAGATACAATTGAGTGGATGACTTTCACCGGTTCGGGCCAAGTCATCTAAAGTGTTATGAATCTCATTGTTCGTTTTCAATAATGTCTATCTTACCCTCGTGATTTGCCGTTGACTTTATGTTCATAGAATGTGATCTCCTTCAACTCTGATGTGACTCCAGCATCGCGCGCAACTTGCCGAAGATCTTCATCAGTTGTCCACTAGCGTCCAAAGGATTAACGAGTAAAATTATTAGTATATGAATAATATCTGTGGGGAAGTGGGATGAATAATTCCTTGTCGGCTCTCTCTTACGACAATCCTCCATTCATCCAATCCTAAACAAAAGATTCTACTGTTCTATTTACCCAATTGAGTTCACCAATATACAAGGCATTTGTTGCATTGACGACTGGTTTCTTCTCTGGCTGTGGGCTTGGCGATCGCTGTGTATTCGATGATTTCTCCCGAGATTCGTATGTTGTGTCTTCTTGCGTCTCTGTTAAATCTATCAATATAAGATGCATATGTACAAAAGAAATCACCATAGCAATTTATACTAGATAATACGCTGGTACAAGACAACAAGTTTAAATAACAATTGATACCTTCATGACCATTCGTTCTTTTCTCTTCTTCCGTCTTGGTAAATATATCCTGTTTCATGGTTTGTGATAGTATATAATGATTTATGTGTTTATCGTTGAATTCGAGGTGGAAACAAGGTTATATTATGACGAACGTAAAAACAGGCAATCGAAGGGAAGTCGTCCGTTATCGAATCGTTTACGTAAATATATATTCGTTGGTTGTTTTTCAATATGAAAAACATGTTATTTATGTTATAAGAAGAGGAAGAGAGGAATAAATGGAATCACTGTAAGTTCCTTAAGCTAATAAACCAAATCTCAACTCTTTATTTCCTTCCTCTTTGTTGTTTCTTCCCAGATGTCTTATACAGCTCTTTTGAATACTGTTGTTGTGTACATGCAGAGTAAATTACTCATTATATTAACGTAATTAGTAGTATTGTGGCTATGAAAATAGACTCTGGGAAGATTTAATCAAGCGAGTGGAGCGTACATGAGAGCATACCACGAATACAACAAATATCTGTTGATCAGTTACTTTCCACCGAAGTATATCTCTCCACAATACGAGGACGTCTGCATAGACGTTTCTCGTATTGTGCAACTAATCTTCTCCTCATGATCTTAATGTCCGCTTCCATCTGACAACTCCTTCTCAAAGTAGCATGACTTGGCACTATTCACTATTCCACCCATTTCCTCTTCCAATAATCACAGAAAGACGTCATCAGACAACTTGTTATAACATAATGGATTGTATATACGAACCTTTTCAACTTCTCCAAAGTCAGCAAACAGATCGTCTTCGTTTATTTCAAGATCGTCGGGTCTATCGGAAGTACCAACATTATTGCCCTCTCGCCGACGTTTAGCCGGACGAGTACCATCTTCATCGCCTGGGTTTTCGTCGTATAAATCATCGTGCTTGAGAAAATAATATAAAGTTAGATGGAAAATTTAATTTTGGGATACGAGGCATGTAAGTATATTCACGTGTATTTACAATAATATTATACCATTCAAACAGAATATCAATATAAGCAGCAGTACATGGGAAACCATCTCTTTTTCCAATCTGACCAATAACCCAATACTCACAGTCTCGTCGGTACCCAAGAACGTATCATCGCCATAAATGTCAAATGGATCTTCATCAGTCATTGTAACCTGCAAGTCTAATTACAGAAGCTAGACGAGTATGTGTCTATATGGGATATGGATATATTAACTATTGATTTGAGTATCTGTTAGTATGTTCTGGGTACTTTTCAGCAGATTGTATAACAATGCAAACATATGAAGGTATCATCAGGCATATATATTATGTTGATCACAGGAGGACAGTAGTCTTGTAAATGCAGAGAGAGAGAGATGGAGAATAGCAGAAGTGTAGTATGTAGCAAAGTGTTGCTATAATCACCCAAATGCACTCTCCTGCTTACTACTTAATCTCCAGTATTAAGTGGTCTTTTATTTGTATATTTAGCTATTCTATTTATATGTGTATACATACATTGGTACTCTCTCGTATTCCTTTCTTTTCGTATGTTCAGCTTCTATTCTTGAGATGTATACTATTACACCTTGAGTGTATACACGATGAACAGTAGCAAAGAGGCTATCTGACGAAGAGAACGAAACAACAAAGTAACAGGAGCAAATAGAAATCAAGAAAGCAAACAATATATAGATATATAAGTATAGTAAGTAGAGAGACAGGCTGAATCTATAAACGAGTGGGTAGGAGAAGACGAGTGTGGAATAAACGTTTTTGTTTGTAGGTGGCTTTGTATTATTAATTACGATTCCCATTGGTGTAACGATAATGATTCGGGGGGCGAACATCCGATGACGGTTATGTGACGAATTTGGTAGAAAGATTTACTGAAAATGGCATATTCTACTACCATTTGTCAAATTTCGAGAGAATAAGAAGGACTACTATTTTACCAAACCTGTTTGTATATATATATATATATATATATATATTAAATATCACGTTTTAATTTAAAATAACAAGATCCGGCAGTTTGACTAGGTAAGTAAGTGTTAGAACAGCGATTGATTGCACGATATACTCAAAGGTATGACTCAAAAAATATTATCGGGCAAGACTGATGGTTCGCAAATAGCATAAAGAAAAGGTAATATGTTATGTGATTGATTGGGGCATTATTATTATGTCATTTATATATAAACTTTACTATAATGAGAATTTTCGATATAGTGAATTTTCGATATATATAGTCAAGAAAAATCTCCGTCCCGTCGACTTTACTATATCAAGTTTTGACTGTCGTAAATTTTGAAGTTTAGATAATTTCATGCCTGAATGGTGGGAGTAACTGGTGGTTTTTAATAGCTTATTATTATAAATCCATAATGAAACCAACACTATTAGAAGCATTCTAAAAAAAACAAGGGGTAAGAATTGCTCCCTTCCAAATCAAATTCTGCAGGAATATCCAGATAAAGAAAAAATTACTTATAAATTTTATCAAAAGTAAGAAAAATAATAAATAATAAACGAACACCACCATTAACCATCAAATTATGATAAACCAAGAAAAAAACGAAAACTTGAAGACAGGTAAGGGAAATCAGTTTAACATTTTGACTTGATAAAGATCTGCTTGAGCGCATTCATTAAGTCTTGTGACAATGTAACAACGTAAACAATAATTTATTTATGCTCACTCTTGAAAATATAAATAATACTAAAAGCACCAGAGTAATTGATGGGAGGAAAATACTCGAACCCAAAGCCATCGATGAGCATAACCTATTCTTTAGTCACTCTGGTGAAAATTTAAATTTCATTATCTTCTTCACCATCATTATTATTAATTACAACGTCATTATTACTATCATCTTTTCCACGTCTGAGTGATATGCATTTTCTTTCTCTTTGTCTTCTTCCGCGGAGTGGTTCGTCGAAGACAAATATTTCTTATTGTTGACGCAGCGATGGTCTTTTGTTTATTCAGCAACTTGGAAATTTCAAACACCATTTTGTTAAATGAAAATTTTGGTTCCGATTCGGTTCTTTTATCGTATAATTGTCTGAAATCGTTCCACAATGTTTCGACTGGAGAATAATTTCGTTCGCTGATGATTTCGTTTTTTGATAAATTTCTGGACTTTATAGTCTTGGTTAACATTCCCATGCTGTGGAATTGGCTACAAATTATGCTATTTAGCAACTGACCGAGAACAAAGCCAATAAAAAAAATTCGCACGAGAAATTAAACAATTTTCATAAGAGTCTTATTGGAAGTTGACAGATTTGTTTTATTGTTTTTAAGATGTATGGTTTCAACGTGTTTATTGCGTTGTTGATTCTGGTTTTGTCCAGTATGCTGCGGAACCGCGCATTGATTATCATTGGTCACATTAAGAACAACAGTTACCCAATAATAATAATACGTCTATGATTAACGTTTAATATGTGCTGCGCGACGTGATCTAATAATAATAACGGCATCCAGCATGTCTAGCAACAACAATATCAACGACGCGTTGCAAAAGGCTCAGGAGAGCGTGAAAGAGGCGGAGGGCAAGCTGGACGCGACCATCACAGAGAGCGATAAACAGTCCTGGCAAAATCAGGTAAAAGCGCGGAACGCACGAGTGGCCAACCTAGAGAATGCGCTGAGTAGACGGATAACCCTTCACCTCTTATAAATATAATTTTTTTCTTACATTTTATTGTCTTTTCGTTCATCCATCTGTCCATCATAAAGTTGTACTGTGTTACCATATTCTTTCAATGCAGCTTATTTTCGTGGTATTCATTACTCGTTTCTATGATTTGTTTGTCTTTTATATAACCTATAATATCGAATACTTGTTTGCTGTGGGCCTACGAAACTATTCGCCTAATCATCGTCACTGCGGATGATATGCTAGCAAGCGGTTGAAATTGTCACGTGGTATGCATACACAAAAGTTAAACGTCTCAACTATTATTGACGGACCCGCAAGAACTAGCCATGCCATCCTGGCCTTAGAATGTTTGTAGATACCCCAAAAACGAAATCCACGAATCCACAAATCCACATAGAACCGAATTCGACGTGAAGGTTTTGCGGGGGGGGAAAGCAGCAAGCAAAAGACACCGTAGCCAGTATGGAAATCCAAATAAACGACCGATTTGAGTAAATGGAAACTCTATTTGACTAATTCGACACCCGACTCAACGAATTTATACGATTTAACATATGACATGGTGGTCGTAAAAAACACTTTGAGGTTCACATCAGCAAATGCAAAACAATCTCAGAAATAATTTAGTCTTAAACATGAGCTCTTGTATCTTATTACACCCAATATTTCTTAAGTATAGTATTTTTTAAGAGACCACTTAAAAGTTTTTTGGTTACTTCTTTGAGTATTTGAGCATGCTCTCTAAAATATACATCCAAACCAATAATTACAATGTTTAATTCAAACGACACATTTCCGCCTAAATTTGAAAACATGCCTGGCTGAGATGTTACATATTAATATATAGAGATTACATTATAATTAGTATTTTTTAATTCTAAACGACACATTTCTGTTTAAATTTCTGTCTGAAATGTTACATATATAAAGACGGCATCCATAAATAAGTTGAGAATAGACTGGAATACTTTTAACATGCGATTTCAGAAACAAACCATCAGCTTAATTGAGGCTGAAATTTTTTATTTCTACTTGTGATTAATGTTATCATTTATCAAGTTCTAGTTAAAATGAAAAGATATACAGTGACTTACAAAACCAGCTCAATGTTTGAAAGAATTGAATGTGCAGGCTTATAACTCCACAAATATTCAACCAATTTACATGAAATTTAAACTGAATATAGTCTTGCATTCTGGCTTCTAATTCACTTTTGTTTTATTTGAAAAGACTCAGTACTTCAAGAGTTATGATTTTTTAAATTTTATTAGTGCATTGAGCTGGTTTTGTAACCTGTAAACATATTAACTGTTGCACCTTTGTATGATGTAATGCAGACGCGCAACTCGATTTGTTTACTCAAAAAATACGTTATTTACACTTATTTGTATATATATATAATGTTTGTTTATATTTTTCCACTCTTCTTTGAATTAAATTTCATTATAAAGCCTATTTCTGAAGAAACTCATAATAAAATTGTTTCCCTACTTGATAATGGACTTTCTTCATATAAAATCGCAGCACAATTGAATATTAGTCATGCAACTGTGGATAGAGTACTAGTACGCGAGAAGTCAAGATCAAACATAAAAAAAAGTCAGGGTGGACGGCCAGCCAAACTTACTGAAACTGATAAATGTAGGTTGGTGTGTACAATCACTTCAGGAAAGGCAGATAATGCTGCTCAGCTCTCTCGTGAACTGAAGGAGAGCCCCAACATAGTGTTGAGCACCCAGACAGTGTGTCGTGCTTTAAAGGAAGCTGGGTTAAAGGCTGCAACAAAGAAGAAATAGCCTCGACTTCTACCAAGACATATTCGTCAACGTCTTGACTTTGCAAAAAAATACCAACACTGGACCATTGAAGACTGGAAGCATGTCATTTGGTCAGATGCGACCAAAATAAATCGATTAGGGTCAGATGGGCGTGAATGGGTCTGGAAAAAGCCTGGTGGTAGGATAACAGAGCAGCATGTTAAAGAAACGGTGAAATATTGTGGTGGAAGTCTTATGATTTGGGGCTGCATGACAGCTCAGGGGGTTGGCTATGCCAGTCGAATTGATTAATACAGTGACTTACAAAACCAGCTCAATGTTTAAAAGAATTGAATGTGCAGGCTTATAACTCCACAAATACTCAACCAATTTACATGAAATTTAAACTGAATATAGTCTTGCATTCTGGCTTCTAATTCACTTTTGTTTTATTTGAAA